AGAAAGTACGTTTGAATCCCGAGTAACGTAAGACAGTAAGAAACGCTCACGATGCATGCCGGAACTCAAGCATCTTTTATTCACGATGCCAACGACTCTCGAACGCGATATACCTACGTATACTTCCGCGAGATTCTTCACGTCAGATTTGAAGATATACACGTATTTATACGTGCCATAAAAGAGAACAGAGGTCTCGGTTCGATGAGATTTTATGGCCTTTTTTCACACTTCTCTCCCCTCGTTCCTCGTTCCCCGTTTTCCAGAATTCGAAATTTTCCCGATAAAATCGCCCAAATTTACGATTCTCTATGATTCAACGTTCTTTTCAGCGTTTTATACTATTGCAAGCTTTTGCCAAACAAAAAATAAAAAAAGTGTATCGGAAACAAAGCTAGGAATTACGACGTTATTTTTGACAAACCTATCAACGTCATTCTTTCTACTTTTCATCTTTTTTTTCTTAATACTTTTATATATATATATATATATATATATATATATATATATATATATATATATATATAACAGAAAAAAAGAAAGAAAAAAGAAGAAAAAAACAAGCTATTATTCATACGACAATCCATAAATTTCACTGACACGTGATTCACATTCTCGACGAATAAACCGAATTTATGGTGAATACGATCGATCTTCTTAAAACGACATCGATAGCTCGCACGTACGGTTCGTCGAAGTAATTAATTAAACAGTTATTATTCGTCGACAACTGTATGCACTTTCGTGATATCGTGCGCGCTTTGCAAAACGACATTTCGATGTGGGCGTAGGTTTAATCGATCGATGAAACGTCTAAAATTCATCTCTCGCGTTTGCATTGACGCGAGAATGCTAACAATGTTTCGTTGGATCGATGTAATACCGATATTCTGAATAATTAAGAAAATCATTATATTATCATAAAAAAATTATATTAAATAAAAAGAGTATCCAAATTTAATAGTCTTAAGAACCATGTGAAAATGTTCATATATTTAGAAGAATCAAAAATAGGAAAATGTTATATTAGATTCAAAATAAATTTTAAATGATAGTTTTTCTAATATTTTTACTAAAAATTTCATTTTACAATTGTTAGAATAATTATTACTTATAAATTTTTTAACAATTTTAGTAGTTCTTATTTCTTTTATTTACTTTTTTCTTTTTATTTTTAGAAACACGATATATTATAAAAATTTACATTTTGACATTTATGAATGTAATTCTATGTATTTAAAATTGCTATCAAATATTACTAATTGCATCATTTTATTGTTCTAGCTAGAGAAGAAATTGGGAAATAAAAAAGATCGAAAAAATATTCTTTCCTTTAAAAAAAGAACTCAAAGAGCAATTTATAAAACATTTCTACATAAATTATTTGAAAAATCGATTATTGAACCAAGTGCCACAAAGAAGGTGATAAAGAGCCGCAATTTAGCCATATGTGTGTAATATATAACATATTTATATATTTATAATATATATATATATATATACACACATACACACGCGCACGCACACACACACGCACACATATATATGATCTCGTGGCACAATAAAATTCGAACCAATAAGTGTAAAATTTGGTAATCGGGAAAAGATAATTCGATCAAAAAAAATCGAGTCTCGATTTTATCGGTTGGTCAAGTTTAAATGAGAAAATCAATGGAAGTTTCTGCACGAGCCAACCAACCATCGGTGTGTTCGTTCGCTCCTTCTCGTAACTACGTTAAAATAATATTTGCTTACGAGGTCGTCGTTTTGAACCGTCCAAGCAATATACGAGGGTTCTTGTAATGGCGAACGAAAGCGACTTATTAATCACTACTATACAAGGGCTAACAAAATGAGCAGTATCGTTTTTCATCGATGAAAATCTTTTGTTAATATCTAAAATTCGAAATTAGTATATCTAACTAAAAAGTAAAATAATTATGACTTCGGTCGTAAGGTAAAAAAGTTATTTTGTTTTCTTCGAGTTCAAGGCAACCAGTCGTAAAAATAAAGTGTCTTCGTTTCGAAGTTGGAGAAATATATAGCCAGAAGGAACTCGGAACGTCGCTTCGGAAACCGCACCGTTTTAAGATCTACGGATCTACGGGAACTTGAAGTAGGTATTCTTTTTTATGCAACACAATTTCGTGGAAATAACACGCAGTTCGTACTTTCGCTCTCTCCTCGATTTCGTGATTCAGTCTGACGATTCTGTATAGGTTTGTACGAGCACGGAAAAGCTTTTTCGCTTTCTAGAACTAATAAACAAGTAAAAAGTAACTTTCTTCGTGAAACGAGTCCTTTGATGAACAATACAATATCAAAAATTAAAGATTCAATTTGTCTTAAATAACACATTCCATAAATTTATAACTTAACGATATTCTATATTTCTATATTGTGCAATATCTCAAAAATTAACGTCAAAATCGAAATTGTCCAAATCCATAAAAGCCCTCATAAACCCTTCTCAAGTAGACTTCTCGTAAGCAAAATATATAATGTATACGAGCTACAAAGATCACTCCTACAATACTAATCCATTTGAAACATTATGAAGAATATATACTGTCCTCTGTATTCATAACTCATAACCAATAAGCATAGAACGAGATTTCATTTACATATGTCGATCGTCATTAACCAAATATCCCGCGCATTTAAATATTAATGGAAATACTGAGAGTTTCGAAATATGTTCACGATTACATAAACCAAATTTATTCCCAACTACTATTTATTTATTTATTTATTTATTTATTTATCTATTTATATGCTTATCTGTCTAATAATCATTAGATCGAAAAATATCGAAAGAGAAGAAAGGAATAACATTGGAAGAAAAGTAAAAGTAAACGTTTGTATAGATTATAGAGACGACTTAAATATTTCAAAATAGTCGCAAAGATTTTAATTTTCTATGCTGTGGAGATGCGACAAAGATGAAGTTAAATTAAAACTTCAATATCCAGCACCGCAATTACCCTCACTAGCAATGTCCGAAGAGCAGATTGCTCGGAATCATACGAGCGAAAAACTTTATTTTCCAAGTGGCACTGAACGCTTGTCCTAATTCCATCTCCCGCTTAACTCGGTCGAATCCTTTTTTTCTTTCTCTTTTTTTCCTTTTTTTTTTTTCTTCTATGCTCCCCTTATTTTTCCTGTCGAGTACTACTAGCGTCATTGTCGCAAAAGTAGCTCGCAAAATACATGAGTGCATTCCAATCTGAGCTTTGCTAATGCTTTCCCGCGGAATTAAGCTCGAACCTGCCCTTATCCTTAATTTGATTATCGAAAGACCGTGAGAGAAAGGATTATTCCGAATTCGTTTGATCGAAGACTCTTTTGAATTAACTGATCTTGATAAATCTACAATTTCTTTAATTTAAAAAATATGATATATAGATTATTATTATTATTATTATTATTGTTATTGTTGTTATTATTATTATTATTATTATTATTATTATTATTATTATTATTATTATTATTGTTATTATTATTATTATTATTATTATTATTATTATTATTATTATTATTATTATTATTATTATTATTATTATTATTATTATTATTATTATTATTATTATTATTATTATTATTATTGTTATTATTGTTTTACTCGTCAATCGTATTCATGATTTTCTCGGTAGAATATCTTTCCATTATTAATACGAATCGATCAATGATATTGCATTCTTCATTATACTAATGTTTAATCATTAGTTTTTACGTATATGATAATATGGAAATAAAGAGTAAAATAGAGATAGCGTTGAGAATTCGTGAAATATCGAAACGAATTTACGTTGCCGTGCCTTCGCGTTCGTACGATCGATCGATTTGTACTAGTGTTAAAATACATAGATATGTGTACGCATACATCGATATTTCGATGCGTACGCGAATTTCGAACAGCCGATAAAATCGGTAGTCCAGTCGCGTTATCCACTTAAGCGCCAGGACAGCGCAACACCAAATTGAAGTTTCGAATTAAACCGTCCGGATGATCCGTCTCGTCTCGTGGACGCGGCTATGCCATCTCTCTCTCTCTCTCTCTCTCTCTCTCTCTCTCTCTCTTTCTCTTTCTCTCTCTTACTCTCTCCCTCTCTCTCTCTTTCTCTCTCTCTCTCTCTCTCTCTCTCTCTCTCTCTCTCTCTCTCTCTCTCTCTCATGCTCTTTCTCTTTCTCTAAAGCTCGTTTGCAATTTCAGTAGCCAGCAAATATGTCCACGTCCGGTTCGCACAGGTTTAGAGTGAATGTATAAATCCTTTGGACTAATCTGCTACATTCCTTGGTCCTCGTCCTGCGAAGGGAATAATATCTTCTGGAAATACTTGCGAAATTACTCTCCTCTAACTCAAATTCGATATACCCTTGAACGTTACGCAAACTTTTAATTACCCTTGAAATCCATCGAGGTAACTCGAAACATTTAATTTTTTAATTCTCGTAGTGAAGTCACGTTTATCGAACCTTTTCTGATTTCACGAAAATATCTCGGTAATCATATTATCTGGTAAAAGAGAAGACTGTTGGTAATTCTCAATGGCGTAGCGATGTAATGTCTCCTCGAGTTTGCCGAGATAAAGAGAGAGAGAGAAAGAGAGAGAGAGAGAGAGAGAGAGAGAGAACTTTTTTCCCATCGGAAATGCATCTTGTGAGCGTCCGTATAAAATAAATACATTCCACACACGTCCCATGAGTTTATCTCACGAAGGAGAGGGTCCGACATATTGGGATCGTGCTAGTCACCTAACCACGTTTATGTACCTTCTGCGTCGACTTACTTCAGCGAAACGAAAGTCCGCCTTCTCCTTCCTATTCTAACGTCTCTTCTTGAATTATAATGCAAGTACTTTCAAGGAAACCACTTTAGTTGCCTTAATATTATTCGATTATGATATCGTGCTATCGTCGAAACCACAACCATCTGCGTTTATAATTTAGTTATTTTTAAGTCCTTCGCATTCTTGACAATATTAGTCTCATTGTTCCAGGTGTCGGATGAAACAATGGAGAAGAGATCTTCCACCAACTTCTGTCATAATCACTTTTCATAACGAGGCCAGATCGACGTTGTTAAGAACCGTAGTCAGGTAAGTTCTCCCTTCTTAATCGTTTATACTTTATTTTTTTTTTTTTTTTTCACGGAAATTATATCGAACGAACCAATGAACATTTCGATATAATCGGTTTTAAAGGATAGACAGAAAAGAAAAAATAAAGTTTCTACTATATACGAGTAACTCTAGAAAAGTGAAGAAATTCAGAATACCGGCCGATGGAATTTTCTAATCGTCGTTCCATCGTTCCATCGCGTGTCACGAGTACTATATCCGTTCAAAGTAGGCGAGACATCGAGATCCTTTTCAAGCCTCTCCTTTTCCCTTTCTCTCTCTCTCTCTCTCTCTCTCTCTCTCTCTCTCTCTCTCTCTTTTTTCTCTCTTCCCTTCTTTCTCTTCCTCCTCCTCTTTCCTCTTCGTTCCACGAGTTTCTGGCATCGAGCATAAATCAGAGATTTTTCTCATAACTCGGTCTCGTATTAATTAAAACATTTTTCCATCTACGAGACCGGAAGGAAAAGAGATGAAGGAGAGTTTTGGTAGTCAAGAGTCGGCAAGTTCTTGCAGAGGTTGAACCAAGAGGCGTAACGAAGCCTTAAATTTATTTAAGGCGACCATATAAATCGACCGTTCGAATTAACGAGAATTCTTAATTACTTTTCTTTTCTTTTTTATTCTTATTATTTTTTTTTTTTTAGCGTACTCAATAGAAGCCCTGAGCATCTGATCAAGGAGATCATATTGGTCGATGATTTTAGCGATCATCGTGAGTACTTCGACTGCAATTTTTTTGTTTTTGTTTTACATATGTATCTACAATCGGAAAAATTTTTTCATACGAATTCCATTCATCCAGCTGAAGACGGCGAAGAACTGTCAAGGATTCACAAAATACGAGTGATCAGAAACGAAAAAAGAGAAGGTTTAATGAGATCGAGAGTTCGAGGCGCAGATGCGGCCACTGCTAGCGTTTTAACGTTTCTAGACTCTCACTGCGAGTGCAATGCTGATTGGTTGCAACCCCTTTTAGAAAGAGTAGCAGAGGACCCAACGAGAGTTGTTTGTCCTGTAATCGACGTTATCAGCATGGATACGTTCCAATATATCGGTAATTTGCTTGCCTCTATTGTCATTGAAAAATTACTCTCGCTTTAAGTTCGAGTGGCCATGGAGTACACGTATTGTTCGTTAGAAAATGAAAACCATCGAATATAGTTTGAAATTGACTTCAATTATAAATTAAATAAAGAACGGGAGTTTCAATACTCTCTGCTAAATGAACGTGGAATGTGGAAAAGCGGGATTTTACGAGAAATTTCGAATTCCTATATCGAAAAAATTGGATCAATACAGTTTTTTTTTCTATAATAGGTGCATCGGCAGATTTGAGAGGAGGCTTCGATTGGAGTTTGGTTTTCAAATGGGAATATTTGAGCCAAGCTGAAAGACAAGCGCGACAAAAGGATCCAACGCAAGCAATCAGAACGCCTATGATAGCTGGTGGATTATTTGTCATCAATAAAGCTTATTTCGAGAAACTTGGAAAATATGACACCCAAATGGACGTCTGGGGTGGTGAAAATCTTGGTGAGATAATTTAACAATTCTCTTTAAGCTCATTTTATTTCAAAATGTCTACAAACTATCCGATTATTTATTCAGAAATATCCTTCCGAGTATGGCAATGCGGTGGCAGTCTAGAAATTATTCCGTGTTCTCGAGTGGGCCATGTCTTTAGAAAACGTCATCCTTATTCATTTCCTGGTGGTAGTGGGAATGTTTTCGCACGGAACACGAGACGTGCCGCTGAAGTATGGATGGATGAATATAAACAATTTTATTATAATGCTGTACCTCTTGCACGGAACATTCCTTATGGAAAGTAAGTAGGTTACTTTAGAGATCTATATTTTAAAGATCAAAATTCGTTTAGATGTTCTATCGATATCTTTTCTAATCCTTTTACTGCTTTTCAACAGTATTCAAGACAGAATGGAACTGAAACGAGAGCTGGGCTGCAAGCCCTTTATTTGGTATTTGAAACACGTCTACCCCGAATTGGTGATCCCTACGAGCGAGGGTGGTCCAGGAGGATCTCTGAAGCAAGGCACGGCTTGTCTGGATAGCATGGGCCATTTGCTAGATGGAAACGTTGGTTTATATCCCTGCCACGATACCGGTGGCAATCAAGTACGTACCAGTACGATCCATTTAACGAACGTAACGAAGTATTTTCTTCAATTACTTTCTGGGAAAACAAACGTTGTCCAAACGTTCGAACACCTAATAAATTACTCCTTTCGATTCGATTCTACTCGTTCAATTTTTCAAAATAGGTTCTTCTTAACGTAATGTGATACATTATTACATTTGAAAGTTGTACGCTCTAGAAAAATAAAACTATACGTATATACAGTATGTCTGGTTTACGTGTATACAAGTAATTATTTCCTTAAGTATAAAACATGCAAAAAAATGTTTTAGATGAATGTTGCATAATATCAAGAAGGACACATCGCAATGATTATTATTTGACTTTGCAATGATCTTAAAGGGCCTTGTAAATGTTACATTTACATTTTTATATGGAACTCTATATTTTTCATTATATATTCTTATAGCTGACATCAAAAACTGTTTTCAAAATACTACTTACATTATATATTTTGTATAAACTATTGTTTAGTTATTTTACTTCAAATTTGGCATTAGCATTATTTAATGGACCCTACGAGGAGGTAGTTCGGTTAGACTTTGTATGCTTCTAGACAAAAAATAATCGAATTGAGCCACATCGCTGCAACATGTGTGAAAATATTCTTAATAATAGAGAACATGAAGAAGCATCCTAATATTGTTAGGACACCAATGTCAAAGACAGGACAGAAACGACATAACAAGATGGAACAGGATAGAATTGGAAGAAATAGGAAAGGGTAGGCCTGGCTTACCTTGGTTCCAGCGAGTCGAGTCGGGTCGGGTTGGGTTGAATCGGATTGAGTTTAGGTTCATTTAGTTTATGTGCGTCTGGGGTCTTATCTGGGGTTTCATCTGCAGTTTTGTCTAGAATTTTCTTCGCGATTTCGTCCGCGGTTTTGTCTACAGTTTCATCGGTTATCTTCGGCTATCTTTGGATATCTTATTAAAGATAATCAAAATATCTAAAGATACTCAAAAATTGCCGCTATTCTCGGGTATTCTATCTTAGTCCGATTCAATCTGTTTTGTTCTCCACTGTCTTGTCTTTAAAATCGGCGTATCGTCATCATAAACCTCCTTCTATTTACATGTTCTCCGTTATTAGAAATACAAAATATATATTTTGCATCGATGTAGCACAATTTAATTGTTTTTCATCTAAAAGTATGCAAAGTCAGATCGGACTAAGTATTTCTCTGCGAAATACGTCGGATAATGTTAATGACAGTTCTATACTAAATTTGAAACTTAATAAATCGTATAAAATGTAAGTAGTGTTTTGAAAATAGCTCGATAACAATGACAAATATATGTAATAAAAAATATAGGGTTCTATTTATAAATTTAAACATGATCTTTGCAGAGCTTTCCGTCATTATCGCAAAGTCTAATAATGATCACTATGATGTAATTGATGTTGTACAACATTAATATGAAAGATTTTTTTCATTTTTAACATTTAGGGAAATTATCAAGTTTATACATTTAAACTGGTCACACTGTATATCAGCTTCATTAAGATTTACAAAAGAAGCAATATGGTTTTATGATTTATGATCGATTAGTTTTTCACTAGTTAAAACGATGCATTATAGGATTCATGGATAAAGTTTTGATTGAGAATAAAAAAAAAGCGAATGGTAAGATATAAGTTTAGAGAGCTATATTATGGATAATTTAACCATTTCAGGAATGGGGTCTCACCAAAGATGGTCTGATAAAGCATCACGATCTTTGTCTGACGTTACCACTTTACGCGAAAGGTACGACGCTCCTCATGCAGGTTTGCGATGGCAGCGAAAATCAGAAGTGGCGACACTTGGAAGGTGGTCTCATAAGGCACTCCAGGATTCCCGTCTGCGTGGATTCCAGATATCACGCTCAACGTGGAATCACCGCGGAGAAATGTGACTCTAACGCGGAAACGCAGAGGTGGCATCTCTACAATCACACTCACTAACTTCCATCGTCCTCTCGATGAGAACAATCACCTTACTCGACCGCGTAATAATACGTTTCTCGTCTCACGAGCTCGCCGAATCTTCCAAAGGATCGATTGTTTCGTTCGTTCGATCGTTAAAACGAACGTGCGAAACGAATTCGTCCCAGAGAGAAGGGAGATTTCTTCTCCATCTTTTCCTTCTTCTTCTTCTTCTTCTACTACTATTTCTTCATCATCATCTTCTTTGGGCCTAGAAAAAATCGTCGTTCTTGAAACGAATCACGGACCACATTCTCGGTTTTTTTTTCTTGAACCAATCGGTACGATGACTCCGGATTTTTTATATTATAAAACGTGCTACATGATATAAAAAACCAAAAAAAAAAAAACAAGAAAAGAAAATACAATAAAAAAAAGTGTAAGGACTTCGCATATTCCCATCGAAATTCCCTTACGATTTAATTTGCGCGAATATTTAAATATCTAATGATCTCAAAATACAATCGCTCGAGCGATTATTTTTATGCATTTATTTTCAAAATATATATTTTTCTTTACCTTCCCTTTTTTAAGTCGGACGTTACTTCAGTATTGTGGTATTTTAATATAGAAGATACTTGACGAGAGATTTTGCTTGTGAATACCAATTTGAGATTATAATTTTACTAGTATATACGTTATATAGAACAAAGAATCGATAGAGCAATGTGTGTACGTTTTGACATGAGATAATCCTAGGTTCGATTATTAATATTATAATGTTTTTTTTTTTTTCTTACTCTTTACTAGTCATTCGCGATGATATGTCTGCTTTCCACAAGTTTTATTTTTTATTGTAATCTAGGAGAAGATGCATGCGTGGAGGAACGAGAATATTATTTCTTACGGCTTGACGATTATCGATGGTCGACGATATGTCGTAGATCGAGTCAAGAAGCTTTTTAGTCACGTCTTTACGAATTTGAAAAATTCATCTACGCTGCGTCCATTCTCTTCTTCTTCTTTTTTCTTTCTTTTCTTTTTTATATATACACATACACATACATACATATATATATATATGTGTGTGTATATATATATATGTGTGTGTGTGTGTGTGTGTGTGTATGTATGTATATATATATATATATACATAGCAGATTTTAATCAATTTTTAGACCGTTCGGTTGCATCGATATTTTTTGTCTCCAATCCGTTAGATTGGAATCGTGAAACAAAGCGAATGTTTCAACTCCACGCTCTATGATTCTCGATAAAGAGATTTATTTTTGTAAGAAATTATATATGTATTTACTTGGTTGTGCAAACGGATGGGAATCGCGATACGATTAGCGTGTAATGATTTGACACATTGCGGACCGATCAATCGATAAACTATATAATTTCGTTTAGATCTCTTCGGTGAAACGTATAGAAACAATTAGTATAATTAATTATTACAAGGATCTCCGCAACGCGTTAAATGCAAATGCGAAAGTACATATACACGGTGACTTATATAGCAATATGACGCAGGTCTTACAATTTAGGCAAATCGGCATGTGAGATGGCTTTTTTATGGCCTCGACTTTCCGCCGATAAACGATTATAACTGCCGCCGTTTTTGCGCCGGATTCGCATCTATCGGAGGTTTGAAATTTAATATTGTACGATATTGCGCGCTTTGCATTGAGCTTTTGTATAATATTGCGCCCATCCGAGTGTCATCTTCAATGTTGACAACCGTAGTCGAAAATGTTTGTTGGGAGATTGTTTTTTTACATATTGGTACTTTAAATAGGCGATAACATGTTTAGTGTAGATATTATAAATGATCGATATGTTCTTGAGAGATGGCAGAAAGAAAGAAAACGATTGTTCGTTAATAACAAGTATATTGTACATTTAAATTAGAGAATGAGAAAACGATATAAACACGTGAATACATTACACATGCCTGCGTACTCGTAACATTATCATCCAAATTTTATGCGTTATCTTTAAATTTAATTTTTAATTTTTATTCGATGAAATTTATGAAAATTAAATTTCATTTTACAAACTTTTACTCGATGAAGATTTATTTTTCAAATGTTTAATTCTAAAGAAAAATATCATTGAAATAAATTAATGAATAATTTATATAAATTGTAATGTTGCGTGTATGTTGGTTATGTACATACATAGATGTAGACGAATTCTGTGCGTCTGTTTCATATTTAAGATACTTTCGCAAAGTGAAAATGTGCTAGACGCGCGTACAGGTGCAAGAATTGTAGACTTCGTGATGAAAGTTGGGCCCTGGGGTGTTCTGAACTGGGATTTGAATCTGAGTCTATCGCTTTCCGGCCAATTTCAATCTCACGAATGCCTACTTTATTAGAAATGGAGATGGTCACTCCCACAGAATTATATGAAAAAAGACCTTGTAAATAATTTCATATATTCTATTAATTAATTATCTTTCTCCCGTCCTAACTTCTCGAAATAATACTTCTTTGCTATAATAAAAAAATACGAATACTTTTTCTCTTTGCTTCCGTGCATGACGAACGATTTGAAACTACAAAGTTTCTCTACCATAATTACGCTGATACCTGTAAATAAACCTTATCACGTGAAAATATAAATATAAATTAATGAAAGAATGAAACATTGTACTTTCCAAGTATATAAACTGTATTATAACACTGAAAATTCGAGATTAAGTTAAGATAATAAGTAATCAGTCAATGTTAACATTCGTATCCTATAAAATATCTTTGTAATTGACGAAGAAACGTTGTTACAAGTAAAATACGAAGGCTGTATAGCGAACTATTCCTTACGTATTGTTATTTGCGATTTCTTTTGAATCATTAGAAAAATGAATTTTTCTATAAAAGAGTGTAATCATAATCGAATATTTCGAAAAAATAACGAATATTTTAAAGACGATTAGTACATATTATGAAAAAAATAAAATCATTATGATTTTATAATTCAGCATCGATTATATTTAGATCGCATATGTTGAAAAAATAATTTCGTTTAAATTAAAATTCCGAAATTGTCCTCAATATCATCTTTTTATTTTATATAGATTAATTTCTTTTCAAAACATAAAGATCAACATTCTCTTCCATCCTATTCGCAAATGTATAATAATTATTACATATACATAAATATATACATAAATATATATATATATATACATAAATATATATATATATATATATATATATATATATATATATATGTATATACATATATATGATAAAACTACGATATTATAGTAATTCTAGACAAAGTTTTTCTAATAAAATTATGACACTTCCGCAGAAACATATTTATTTATTATAAAATTGATTTAGTTAAAAATCTTACATGGATAGTTTACACACTTATGAAAGTCTCTATTATAATTTCTAAAATTTCTCCTTGTCTATATTTTTGCATTTTATTTCTTCATTCCTTTTTTAATTTTTTTCTTTAATTCATCAATATTTATTTCTGTATCTTTTGGATTATTCTCTATTGGTTTTTCCTCTGGTGGAATAAATGCCTGCTCTCTGCGTTCTATCCTTCTCTTTTTAGCCTCTTCATGTCTAGTCTCTTGTTCTTTCTTCTTCTTTGCTCTCTTTTGTTCTTCTTTTAAGAAATATTCTCCAGACATAAGCTGTTTATCAAGTTTGCTTTCTTGCTGCGGCGGTGGGAATGGAGTATACGGTTTTTTCTCCCTCTTCTTTCTTGGTTGTTTTCTCTTACTAACATTTTTACTATTAAACTTAGGTAAAAATCTTTCCCAGTTTTCATTCTTCAATTTGGGGTCTTTTGCTAATTCTCTTTTTATCATTAATGCTTTTATGTTATAAATAGGATGAATATTTTTCATAGTATCTTCAGCAATACGTCTCACCTGTTGTAAACCTTTATAAGGTCCTAATGCAGAGACTGTCTGTCCTTGAACTAACACATAACAACTTGTTAATAATTCTATAGATTTCAATGTACATCCGTTTGGTCCAATTAACCTTTGTCGTCTCTTAACAAATTTTTCCTTATTTCTTACAAAGGAAGAAATTTTTATAATATCAGAACCAATGTTGTCTTCCAATACTCTAACTGCTTGTTCAAAAGGAACTGATCTAGACATGAGTTTTATCATATCTCTTGCTTTTACAATAATATAAGGATCCCAAGTCTTTCTTGTCGTTTTAACTGTCATACTACCTTCCACGAGATCTAATTCTGCTTTGACCGCATATTCGTCTAATGCTTTCTGCACCAGAGGCCAATGTTCTTTTAAATATTGTTCTCTGTACTTTGGAAATAAAGTAGCAAAAGAACTTTCCTCCAAAAGACGATGTGGATTATCTTCAGGTTTGAATGCTGGAATTTTCAACGCCCAGGCATTATCCACTGGTCCAGTCACTTTCGGAATCTCTTCTGATTCTTTATCACTCATTTTTTACAATAAAATTTATAATTAAAACATTACACGAAATATTTTACTTCCGATCGAAATTCACATTTGATTTTTATAGGTTATAGTTCGTATTTTTTAGTATTCAATTATACACTAAATTTTTATATATAATAAAACTGTCTATAAAAATAATGTTTTCTTTTGTATTATTTTACGTTTCCTCGATACAATGATAAAACATGTATTTTTAAATAAACGAAAAGAATACACATTTCTACATGCAAATAGTTCCATAAGCGCCACGTATCGTCGTATATCGCAAATATACTACCATCTACCGATGATATAATTGTAAGAATTTGTATATAAACTATATATACGTTTATACCTGTGTACAAAGAAGCGTAAAATTTAACACAACAATAACAACGTATTATTTTAAATTATTATTTCCGTATAATATATGTTACATTTACCATGTGAGTAATAGAATTAGTATTGTAATTATCGGTAAAATAGTACTCCACTTAATAGTTCCTAAAAAATTTTAAACTTTTCATGGCGCGAATCACGTGTACGTATGTTTAAAATGAAGATTTGAAAAAGAAATATCATTGTTAAGTTATTCAATTAATTACTTTTCGGTAGATATTTATTATACTAAAATATATATACGTAGTTTTATGTTTATGTAATTTGTATAAGTTATTTCAATATTTTTTAGTCAATATATTTTCTGAGGTTAAGTTTGTTAAATATATACTTGTACGACTAACGAAAATGAATTTAATTTTAATACGTAATTAATGATTTAAATTTTATTAAAAGTGTAATAATATCTCTGGCAAATATATTTTTTAGTGAATATCTTTTCTGAGGTTAAGTGTGTTAAGTATATACTTGTACGACTAATGAAAATTGATTTAATTTTAATACATAATTAATGATTTAAATTTTAATAAAAGTGTAATATCTCTGGCAAATATATTTTTTAGTGAATATATTTTTTGAGGTTAAGTGTGTTAAGTATCTATTTGTACGACTAACGAAAACTGATTTAATTTTAACACATAATTAATGATTTAAATTTTAATAAAAGCGTAATCATATCTCTGGCAAATATGATTTGCTGTATGATCTAGGAAAAATAAAGAATATATAGGTAACAGAACCTCAATTGTACTTAATATCTTGGTTTAGTTTTCCTTTTTTTTTCTTTTATTTAATATCTATACATTTGGCTTTAGGCATTCTTTTTTATGTTTGAATGTATTTGAACTGCACAGACTGCACTAGTGTCACACATGCTTTTTTATGTACCATTAGTCTCCCTTTATATTTTAACCCCTTTGAAAAGGGTAAAGGGCTTCACCCCTTTACACATAAAAAAGGGATAGCTGTTAAAAAAGGGTGTAGCAGCTGAAAAAGTATAGGCCTATTTTAATAGATACATTATATCTGAATAATTTATAATATTATATAAAATTAAATATTTGATATATCAATCTATATTTCTTTATTATTTTTTATATCTGTTTAATATAAAAAAAATGTTTAATTAAGACAAGATTGTAAATGCTTCATCTTTTCTAGATAATAGTTGTTAGGACAATATTTTTTCTTGCTTACAATAAAAATTCATCGGACCACACCCTTTTGACTATGGGATTTGGAAAATTCGTTCGGGGCATGCTCCGTCTCATAGCCAATACAGATCTTCCTGTTCAAGGGTTACGGTCTCTCTCCTATACTCTTGACAGAGGATCTACTCCCAGGAATTGGGGAAGGATTCCTGTGATTGGTCAGGGAAACTTAGTCTACGACCAGCTACGTAGCAGTTTGAAAGGGGTTCTTCAGTTCTCCGTTGGCAGCCGTTGCCTTTAGATCATATATATCTTTTCATCAATCAGTGAGCATATATTGTTGAAGTGTTGAAATAATATGTTTTAATGGATTTAACAATAGTAAGTTTTAATAGATTTAACAGTAGTAAGTTTTAATATTAGTGCTTTATGGTTCTCATAAAGTGCATGTATTTTACAAACTATGTATTCAATCAAATAATTCTTATATCACATATTTATATTATTTATTTCAATATTTTTCTCTTATAATATCATTTTTATATATTTACATATCTTCAGTTTTTGTCAATTTAACTTTTATTATTCATTTCGTATCAAATTACTATTCAAATATTAATTTTATATTTTTAACATACAATATGCAATTAGCAATGTTATTCTCTATTATAGAAGATTGATTCTCCATCCCTTTGATATGCAATTCTTTAGGGTACCCTTGTTGTGAGTTACCCTTTTTTTAGTCACCCTTTTTTGAGATACCCCTTTTTGGAGGTATCCCTTCCTCAATTCTCTCCCCACCATCAGAGATTTTACCCTTTTTATTTGGAACAAAAAATATTGTCGTTTTTCTTCACAATGTTTGTATTTTTTTTTAAATATCAGTTTTTTATAGCATGGTTTCAGTTGTCTAAGAATGATATTTATAAATTGTAATATAAATTGTACACACTTCTTTTAGAAGTATTTCTTTCAGTTGCATTTGTTTCTTGTCTATAGCTGTACTATATCAAATGGTGGACAATAAATTTACCTTCTTTAAAAGGGTGTATGCTAGAGTTAAAAAGCATGGGTCAATTTGAAGCTTTATTCTCATTCGATGTTAGAGCCATGGCAAGGGGTGGAGCTTCTTTCCCTTCCATTTTGCATTGATAAGAGAAGAAGCTAAAGGGTAGACAGTCTTACATAGAAGTCGAATGAAAGAGGATACTTTGCTTGTATGACAGCATTGCTATTCTCATTTAAACTAGTTATTTAATAGTAATGAAATTGTAGTGATTTATTTGGAAAAACTTTATTTCTAAAAACTTTAAAATACATTTTTATATAGTAATGAAGTATCAAATCAGATAAATCAGAGTATTTGTGTTCAAGTAAAAGTGAAATTTTATTATAGTACTGCAAACAGTGATATGTGCGAAGTGAACAATATTAGTATCTTTATAACTTAAAAAAAAATTGATAAAGATTATAATAAAAAAATAAGAAAATGAAAAGAAAATACAACTGATAATATAATCTGTGTATGGTCATATTTCAAACATATTAAAAGTACATCAAAATTAATTATTAAAAATATTTCATTTTAATTTGTTTCCATTACAAATAATATATATAATCTATTTAAATTTGAAATTTGTTACGTATCACAAATCTCGTATGATAACGTTACCGCAAGCAACGTTAGCTCTTCCATATTGACTTTGCACAGTTATCTTGATAGTTCAGAAGAATGCTGTAAGATGCCGCGATATAGAGTATTCACTGTTTTAACACGAGATTGCAGATAATATCTAAAAATAATAAATTTTTTTTTATAAAAATTTTGTAATAATTATAATTAACAAATAAACATATAGTATTTATTTTTAACATTTTAATTCTTACACATACATATATACATGCATATATTAAAATTAAATTATATTATTAACTTACCAAATGGAAATACGCATTTAAAAAGTACGATTTATAGACTCCCGAGGTATCATATGAAAGATTTATAATCATATAGATATCTTTTTGTATAAGAAAAAACTTTCGAATATATCAAAGGCACAAATGTTTTCGAAATAGTTTAGGAGGGTCGAAATCCTGATTGTAAGTGTAGAGATAAGTGCGAATAAATTTTATCCCAAAGCCTATCCCCTAGAATCGTTTCATCAAAAGCCTGCTTACCTTTGTTCGCTGTTTCAGAAAGTCGATGCGTTTTCCACGAAGTCTGCGCGTTCAGCAAAAGCGTGTTTGCATTTCTCTCCCTTTGGGACATCGTCTCCGGCGCGCAATTCCGAAAAGCCGATTTCAATTCCGTTTCCTTTTACAGGGAAAAAGAAATCTCGAGTGGCTGGCATGGTCCAAAGAGAGATAGAGAGAGAGAAAGAAAGGGAGAAAGAGAGAGAGGATGCGAGGGTGACTTCACCCAGGGATTAGGAGAATCGCGTAGACAGGAGCCGCAACACGCGTGACTATCTCAAGGATTCCCTACATCCTCGAGAGTTCCATTGCATCGATCCTTCTCCATCAGCCTTCTTTGCTTATCTCGACTTGTTTCGAGAAGCTGAGGAAACCATGGATCG